CCATGACCCAATCACCTCAAACTAAGCAAAAGGTATGTATTTAGAAGGCACCAGCACACAAATCTCTATAATGAAGAGGGTACTTATTATTATTATGTAAAACAGTAAAGTTTATTTATATATCTCCTAAACCACTTTGGTGATCTTTACCAAAGAGATGATTCTTACAGGACCCTCAAGAAAGGCAATTTTATGGACTTCTTGTCATAATAAGTGAAAGACACCAAATCCTATTCTGAGGTACATCATTATAATAAGAGGCTTCAACAGAGTGAATTGTATTATTTAAAAGGTCTATCAATTTTATAAGTTTGCTTATTTTGCATTTATGTAGGTGTTTCGAATTCATCAGGAGACTTCAGTTGGATAAATATACAAAAGAAACAACAACAAAAACTTATCACAATTTACTTTCCATCAGATTCAGCCCTCTTTAACATTTATACACATAAATAAATTCAGACAATAACATTTTAACATCATACAGAAAAACAATACATTTTAGCACTTATATTTTGCTGAATTCCTAATTCGACTGTTCCAGCTTCCTTTTTTGACAAATTGTCACCTTTTTACAATAACTGATTTACTGCTATTAAATTTAGAAGGACTTATCCCATTACTGCCCTAATAAGGCGAAATGTCTTTTATAACTTATCAGACAACAAAACGAAAATTTCAAGTTGGTCATCCAAAAGTATAGAGTGTGGACTGCATGGATTAACAGGCTGGCCTGGCTATAAATAGAGTGTGGAATGTATGGTTTTACTAAGCCTAAAGGCTGCTAAATTTTGGCTCCAGCAGTCTAACAGTTAAGATAATTAGACATTTCTTATGACATAATACATAAACAATATTACATTTTAACATATTCTAACATTTATGAACACTTCACTCCTCATTTCCATGACAACATTCCATGGAAATATCAAATCAATATTTATACATAAAGAACTTTAAACAATTTCAAACACAAGATCTTACATGATCTGTCCCAAAATACATGTTATACATGTACATACACAATTCAATATTCATAAATTATTCATACAAAGAATAGTTTCAATGAGATAATTATATTCTAATTGTCTTATTATATTTCATCATGTTTCTTAAATATTGTGAAAAGTTACCAATGTATAATGAAATAAAAAAGAATATGAATATAGAATACACATCACTTTGAAGTAAAATATTTTCCATATCTCACTTTCAAATATTTTCCATATCTCACTTTCCATAAAGACTCATCGTCAGATTACTTAATAACAGAAACAATTGTACCATAGGAAAATACAACATCAAATAAATAATGGAAACATTTTAATGCCATCTATGCAGATTCCCATTATCCTTGAACGCAGTATTTTCGATGATTCGAAAATAATAACAAAGGCTATTAACAAAGCATTCATGAATGGTGCAATTAGACAAATCACTTGCATGTTTGCCCAAGGTGTTAAGACATTCTCCAGGCATCATTTTCAAACCAGCTTTTAAGTTTCCTAGAAATGCCAAAAGTTCAAGAGTCTGTTGCTAAAAGTACATTTATTTCATTTGATGTCTGTTATAATAGCCATGTTTCCTACACAAGAAAAGATTGTTTGTTTCAGACCAGACTATTTCCAATAAGAACTGAGTGAATGTTTAACCACAAATAGAACATTGCTATAGAATTAATATTAAAGCTGCCTTCAGCTTTTATTTTTTTCTAGAAAAACAATTCTGTGTTGTTTCAAACTATAAGTATTTCAGTAATTTTATCTTGGAAAAGTGTATCATTTCAACATTAAGCCTTTTTCAAAACAACGTTTTGAGAGTTATTAATAGCGCGTCAGTGATGTTCGTTTTTAAATAGAAGATCAGGCAATCTTTTGCTTAACCAATTTACATATAGAGAGACATATTGATTTGACAATTAAATGAAATGATTTATATAAAAATAACATATTTAACCTTTAGAAAAAACTCAAGGCCGCTTCATAGCTGTAACTTGGTACACTTGAAATAAATATAACCATCAGGAGCTCACAAAAATTCAGCATACTAATCTAATCAACTACTTGTGTAACATAAACAATAGTGCTTATATAGCAGGTGATTGCTCACCTTAGATATATTAGTAGACTAGACAAGGTAATACTTTCTATGATACAGAAGTAGGTCACTGAGTCAAGTTCAAGGAAATTCAAGGTCAAATGTTAACTAATACTAACTATATGACTAGGAACAACATAAACAAGATATGTTCCTAAAACATAAATGCCCTTGTCCCAAAACTGTAAACAAATCATAAAGTTATTATGAAATTTCTTGGGATTTTGAAAACTTGACATTGAAGAGATCAAGGTGAATATGGGTTCAAGTGTCATATTTTAATACCTCAAAATGGAGCTTTTGCCTAGAAATATACTTTGTTCAATATAACTTGTAGAAACAAGAGCTGTCGGTAGGACAGCAACGCTCGACTATTCTTAGAGCTTGATAGTAAAAAAAGCCTTGATTAAAAGGTATAATTTTCTAAGTAAAGAAAAAGGCAAAATGTGTCTTTAAATCCATATTACAGTTATAGGCCTTGGAGAGAGTCCTATTATGCTCTCAAAGAAGAGTATAAAATTTCAACATGTTTCAAAGCCTTATGTCAATGAATTTTGAAAATATTTGAGGTATTACAAAAACTTTAACGTAAATTCTAAGTCGAAAAAGGGGCATCATTCTGTCAAAATGCTTGATAGAGTTACCTCCTACTGTCTATATGTTGTGGTCATGATGTTGAATAAGTGTACAAAGTTTCAAAGCCATTTGTCAATGGACTTTGAAAATATTTGAGGTATTACAAAAACTTTAACGTAAATTCTAAGTCGAAAAAGGGGCATCATTCTGTCAAAATGCTTGATAGAGTTACCTCCTACTGTCTACATGTTGGGGTCATGATGGTGAATAAGTGTACAAAGTTTCAAAGCCATTTGTCAATGAATTTTGAAAATATTTGAGGTATTACAAAAACTTTAACGTAAATTCTAAGTCGAAAAAGGGGCATCATTCTGTCAAAATGCTTGATAGAGTTACCTCCTACTGTCTACATGTTGGGGTCATGATTGTTAACAAGTGTGCAAAGTTTCAAAGCCATATGTCAATGGACTTTGAAAATACTTGAGGTATTACAAAAACTTTAACGTAAATTCTAAGTCAACTTTAATGTAAATATTAAGTCGAAAAAGGGGCATAATTCTGTCAAAATGCTTGATAGAGTTACCTCCTCCTGTCTACAGGTTGGGGTAATGATGGTGAACAAGTGTGCAAAGTTTCAAAGCCTTATGTCAATGGACTTTGAAAAAATTTAAACTATTACAAAAACTTTAACATAAGTGGTTACGCCGACGCAGACGCCGACGCTCGGGTGACTGCAATAGCTCTACTTATTCTTATTGAATAGTCGAGCTAAAAATATGTTTTTACCAAATTTTATGTTTTCCACAATTATACCCCTTCTAAAAAATCTTGGTACTTAGTTTGTTAATAAATACATTTTAACCTCTGCAAAGCAACACTGTTCTGGAGACAAAGATTATACCAGACAGTATTTTCCTGACACCCTGAATTTGTACATTCATTGCAAGCAACAACTATAGGAAATGTTGAATTGATAAAAATGGCAAAGATGAATTGACATATAAAGAGATTGACAAACATTTCTTACTAATCTGAACACATGCATACAAAAAATATATAAAAGTATCTATTGTTCTGAGAATTTTATATCAAAGTCAAATTCAATCTAAGCTTGACAAGTTATTAAAGCAGCATGCCTTGAGATTCATGGTAACTTCCATGACTTTTTTTTAAATGTTTAAAAAAGTAAAATATTGATAAGTAATCAAAGAGAGTAATTTAAACAATGCAAATGGCACATAAAATCTATGAAAAAATTGCCAAAATTAGGTCAGAATGTGCAAAATTAGCTCTTATTGTGTTTTTCATGCAAGTAATTTATTACATATTAGTAATTGTGAATGCAAGTATTTTTACTTTTCTTAAAATCTTAGTATATTTTTCTCAATGTTGATTTTCTTCAAATATTTTGGCTCATTTGTTGGCATACTGCTTTAACCCATAACATGCTGGAACTGGAGGCATCAGCTTATGCCATAAGTATAGAACTAGGCCAGTCTGCACTTTCATACCTTCTGACCAGGCTCTATACTGTTGCTCACTCAATTTTTTGTAGTTTGATATCGAAATTATTTCTACCTCAACCTGGATTGTTCCATATTGAAAATTGAGCAATCACTAAAGATGATTAATACCACCCTAAGTCACCTTAACTACATGAAATATAAGTGGTCTGAAGCAAAATTTGAACTGGACCTATATTTCATGATGTATCATCTGTGTACCAATAATAATTACAATAAATTGCTTTGCTAAGAGTATAATAATATGCTTACCATTATTTTGGTAAAATAAAAAGTAAAATACTAAAAGTAAATAGTCTTCTGAAGCCAATAAGTGAATAACAGGGATTAAATTATGCCAATCTACCTATCAGAGTAGAGGTATAATAAAGGTGAATATATGGCACAGGTACCACAGAGAAAGGTTTCAAAATTGTCAAAGAAGAAGTTATTTTCTTCACATGTATCAGGTGGCCTTCAACAAAATACCTAGTCGTTCTTCAAGCAGATATTGTCAGCAATGTTCAAAAATTGTATGTGTTTTAATTCTGAGATGGCACTACAATAATGTGCTTTTGACTATTTATATGGCTTACAGTAACATCAAGGCAAGCTGTGCTTTAACTATTATACTAGGTGTGCTTTATCTATAATAATAACTGTGGTTTAACTATAATACTATCAGTGCTTTAACAATGATACTAGCTGTGCTTTTTTATTCTAATGCATTAGTGATTTGAATAATAATCCTATATATTTTTTATAAACTGTTAAAGCTAACAGTGGCTTTCACTACAAAGATGTATGTCACCTAAAACAATGATTTCCACTCCTTAACTTGCTTTTAACTATATTGTGGCAAACAATGACTTTAACTTAAATTGTTCAATGTGGTTTTAACTACATTGTGGCTAACAATGATTTTAACTACAATGGTTTGATGTGGCTTTAACTACATTGTGGCTAACAATGACTTTTAACTACAATGGTTTGATGTGGCTTTAACTACATTGTGGCTAACAATGACTTTTAACTACAATGGTTTGATGTGGTTTTAACTACATTGTGGCTTACAATGACTTTTAACTACAATGGTTTGATGTGGTTTTAACTACATTGTGGCTTACAATGACTTTTAACTACAATGGTTTGATGTGGCTTTAACTACATTGTGGCTAACAATGACTTTTAACTACAATGGTTTGATGTGGTTTTAATTATGATGTGACTAATAACAACTCTAACTCAAATAATTTGAGGTGGTTTTAACTATGTTGACAGTTGTGGCTAACAATGACTTACTACAGTGGTTTGATGCAGTTTTAACTACACTCTGGCTAAAATGACTTTACCTAAATGGTTTAATGTGGTTTTAACTACATTGTGGCTAACAATTATTTACTTCACCTAAATTGTTTTGTGTGGTTTTAACTATGCTTTGGTTAACAATGCCTTTAACTGAATGGTTTAGTGTGGTTTAAAGTATGTTGTTGCAAGATTTGCCAACCTAAATTTTCAATTTATATAGATAGCTGTGTTTCTGACTTTGTTGTGCCTATCAATGTGTTGTTATAAAATGGCTTATTGCTATTTGATAATAATTATTTTATATTAGCAGTAAATAACAAAAAAAAAAAGCTTTGGTAATTGATTTGATGCTTTGCTTGCAATTCCTAACAATGGAATGGCTAAAAGTAATTTAAGATGCTGAACTAGCAGTAATTAAAAAATAAATTGCAAACAACAATTTACTAGAGGTAATTCACAAAGTGTGTGTTATTATGCAATAAAATCACTGTTCACATTCTATATTTAGACATGTGACATAATCATTAAATATGTGACGTAACCACTAAAACTGCGATGCGCTGAAAATAAGTACGAAACAAATCAGGCGCAATTTAGCTTAATATGAGGTAAAGCAGCATTTATTTGTTAATGTCGTGTTAGAATCGAAATAATATATCCAAATCGGTGATTTTATTGCTTGATAAAATCACTGTTTGTCGTTCGAATGCACATCATTATATCACATGGGCTACGCCATCGTGATATTGATTCCTCGCATCGGAACTACAAACAGTGATTTTATTGAGCGATAAAATCACAGTTTGGGATATATCATTTCTTAACCATACTATAAATAAGCAGTACCTGTAATTCTCAATACAAGGTTAACTGTAATTTATGATGCTTTGGTGGCAATAATTAACAGTGATAGAAATGACAATGACTTAACCTTGAATAGAAACATTGACTTACAATAAATTCTAAAATATTTTTGTTTTGTTTCTTGATTGGACATAAAATCTCACAATGTATTTTTTAAACAATATAGAACAACAGTTGTAAGATGGAGCTGGTAATTCCGCCGAATCAGCTATTGCTTCCTTTGCATTTTTGGCAATACAGTAAGGTTATAGTGATTTAGTATTTTGTATGGAAGTCAAAATACCACTTAGTTTATTCTTATACAATTGTGACATAATACGTCACATTCATCGCTACTTTCTTCCAATGCTTAGCATCTAATATGCTTTTAATTCTAATATTCTATTATCAAAGCATTATAAAACATATGTTTGCCAAGGTTCCAAAAGAAAAAAAGTATAATAATTGTCGAGGCTTGATGTATCTTTAAAGCTGCATGCCTCCAGATGAACCCCCCCCCCCCCAAAAAAAAATCCAAGAAAATAACTTTGAGAAAAATGTAATTTTAAGAAAAGTAAAATTATTGATAATTCAAGTAATAATTTACATATAATATGCAATGAACTACTGATTTTCAGAATTTATCACCATATTTCTATTACATGACTAACACAGTAAGGGTTACTTTTGCATATTTTGACTGCTGTTTTGTAATTGACAATATTTTACATTTTCAAAATTTTCTTGAAAATAAGTATGAATTTGGAGGCGTGCTGCTTTAAAACAAAATCATTAGCATGGACAATTTTTTTTCTCAAAAATTTATCATGTTAGGGTTTACCACTCAGTGTGTTAGCTATGAACTACATGTGTATAATGATATTGCAAGTCATCATGTAATGAACTGTGTTTTACATAAACAGGTCTGTTTCTCAAAACATTGCCTGAGTTTGCATGTAACCATACTGTTGTTGAGGTGCATTCTGATATCCTGTGTTCATTGGCTGATTATATGATGATGTCCTTGACCTTGAGGTCATATGTGATGACTGTGACCTTGACCTCTGTTGTTGTTGTTGTTGCTGCTTCTTTTGTAAAACTGGGAGGCCCTGCTCCTGAACAAGTTTTTCTAAACTACTAAAATGTAGTTTTGTTATGAGTTGCAACTCTTCAAATACTGAAAAAAGAAAATAGCTATTGATGTTAAGAAATTCTTTCTCAGTTTTTATTAAAAACTTGGTTCATGAACTGTCAAGGTTCTTTGGTTAACTGTGCAAAAGTTGAATATCTGAAGACATTTGGTCTGTTTACAGGAAATCAAAGTTCAACAGAAGTGGGGCAATATAATTTTAACTGTATTGATGAAGTCTTTCAAAACAAAACTTAGCAAATTCAAAGCAAGTTGTTCTCCTAACTAAAATAGTCAAGGGGATAAAAAGTTCTGTCTTAAGGACATCATGCTCAACTACACTCATTGCTTGATAGCAAAATTGAATCTGGATAATGTAATGTTTTCTGAGTTCAAAATGGGCCATAATTCTGTCAAAATCCATGATAGGGTTATGTGCCTTGGATAGTGACCTCCTACGATGCTCTAAAATAAGTGTGTGAAATTTCAACCTATTTCCTTTAGTAGTCTGGAGATACCAACTTGCATGAAAAAACTTAACCAATGTAAGATGGTGATGATGACACAAGGGTGAGTACAATAGTTCTCTCCCTCTTCTTCAATAGTATATGCTTGTATGATTCCAACTGATGGCATAGTCACGCCATTATCAATTTGGCATTCAAAGCATTCATTCTTTACCATGCTGGCATCAACTGAATCTACCTCATGCGACCATGTCAGACCAAAATCAGCTGGAACATCCATACTGTCTGCATTAGTTTGCTATTCAGTTACTTCATTTTTTTTTTTATAATCCAAAACATAATTTAGTCTTTAGTCCAAAGATGGACAAATTTGTTTTTTATATATTTAGAATGGTAGGGGATTAATACCAATCCCTTAAAGGAACTCAACTGAGTTTTTTTGACATGACAGGACAGGAAATAATTTTTCAAAATAAATGTTTCATTTGATGTAGGTCTACACCAATAACATGTGCAAAATATCAGATCATTTCCTCAATCAGTTTTTCTAGAATAATCATTTTAATATGAAAAATACCTAAAAATTATTTCAATCTAATTAGATAAGAATAAGATAAAAATACAATTTTCAATTTATTTCTGAATAAATTTTAACTACTTTTTCTCATCTTTTTGTTTCAAGTACATCAGCTGATCTGCATAAGAAATTTAAATTTCATGTTAAAACAGCAGTATAACACCATAGTGAAAAAATGCAAAACTCTTGTACAAACTCGTAAGGTTAAAGGTTAAGTACAACATATACCTGGTCCAGCATACTGCTTGTGATCTGATGTCTGAATGAGAATTTTCTGAAGAATGGTTACCATAGCAGCCGTAGCTAATACTTTCTCTGACAATGGCAACATTGAGAAGTAATCAAAATCTATCTCAAAAGGATTTCTTGGGGCAGGATAAGTACATAACTTCACTAGCTCTGCTATGATATCCCATACAAAAACATCTGTGAAAAAAACAACACAAAAAAACAATGAATTTAAAATTAAAATTAAATTAAAATATTTAATACAAAGATATCAGGAAGACATGTTTAACTTGGATTTGGTATATTAAATAACATGATAGCCCTTGATCACTTATCAAAGACTGATTGCAAGAAAAGTAAAAAATGTTTCAATGTAGGAATGTGACATTGGGTCACAGAAGGTCAAATATTATACCCCAGGGTCATGATTCATACAATTTTTGTTAAAGTCCACTAGACAATGCTACCTGCCAAACACCTAAGCTCAAGGACATGTAGTTCACATAAGAAGACATAAATGTGTTCTCATGTATAAATATATCTAAAATGAAGGACACCCAGGGCATTGTCAATTTTAACCCTACGGGAATAATTTATATAATTTATGGAGAGGATCATAAAATGATGTTACATTTGTGTATATGCCAAACATCTAAGCTCTAGTCATTGTAGTTTCTGAGGAGATGGTTTTTAAAATATCTGAGGTCTATTTCTGACTCCAGTGACCTGCTAATGCATTTGACTGGAATCATTTATTGGAAGTTTTGTTGAGGGTCATCTAAGATGTACTGGTTTAACTGTGTGCTATAGTGAATTCCAAGTGGCTTTCTGTCGTGATCAGGAGAGTACACTACACAAACCACCAACACCATCACATAAACATTATTTATGTAGAGTTCAATCAAAATCAACCACGTTGTTTTAAGAAATTGTGGGTAAGGATAAACAAGACAACATGCCATCAAAAAGCTCATGTATGAGCACTTTATGGTCAGGTAAGCTAAAAAAGTACTTTCATAACAACTTTGACTGAACTATCACCATTCGTTCATAACATTTAAATACATCATATGTCCATTTTAAATACACAAAATACAACTTCTTGTTAATCAGCAGTATTTAGAAAATGCTGCTATTTAAGTTTTATTAAGAATTTCAAGTTTTAAGTCACATATTGTAACATGTTTGTTAAATGTGGTGCAAGAAAACAAGTTATGTCTGTCTATATCTTCTTTCTGACACAAGCACCTAATTTTGAACAACCAAAATTAAATAAGCGATGTAGATAGTCTCCTCACATGATAAAATGCAATGTTTTAAAGAGGATTCTGATGTGAGGTATAGCTATAAGAAATGCCTTAATAACCTAGCTCAAAGCAAATTAAAGGCATCACTAACAAAATTTATTTTTTGTAGAAGTTAATCATTATGGATTTTTCTATATAATTTCCTGTATAAATAGAGGATATTGAATGAGTGTAGGTTAATACTAAATTTATTGAATAAGTTGAGTAAAATCATCTTATGTGAGTCTTTGGAGAGCATAATATTGTTTTATTCAATGAGTTAATTTAGTAATAGTATTGAATCGCACGAATATATTCTTTTTATCACCTATATGAAATAAGAACAGTAACTTTTAAAAAAAAGAGTCATTTTTCATTGACATGCCTATAATGTAACGCTAACATTAGTGCGCTTTAATGCTATGATTATATAGAGCGCAAATAACATCACGTCAAACTAGTGTAATATCATTTTTATAAAATGGCTATATTACATTCTGTACATTCACCACGGTTTATGTGAGAAAAGGAATTATTTATATAACATGCATTTTGACCACAGCTTATCAACTTAGGCAAATACAAAACATCTGGTGGTACCATTATCTTTCCATTTCATTGTTGTCTTTAATTTCAATGGACAATCTCTTTCCCTGGATTCCCCAGTGAGTTTAACAAGTCGGTCATGATTTGATCTCACCCATACATACGGACAGTTGTATCTACTATAACCAGCTATAAGGAATAAAGTTGATTTCTCATCCTGAAATACATACAAGAAAACATTTTATCCTAATGATGCTTTATAAAGAAGATATTGAATGAGAGTAAGTTTTTATAATGTATTTATTGAATGAGTTGAAAAAGTTACACCAATTTAATATTCTATTCATCAGAGATCTTGCTAGTTTAGTATTGAAGGAATACCCGAAGTGTTGCTTATTTTAGCATCATCTCAATTAGTAGAGGTTACATAACTATAATCACATGCCTACTAAGATAGCTTCCTTACATTACATATTTTAGTATTCTGACAGTACATGATAACAAAGCACAACAACAATGGATAGACAACAGAATTCAGCAACCTTAACCACTAGGCCATTGCAATGACATGAAGATAAAAAATCATAAATAACAAAATAATATTAACTTAAACTTTATATCATAAATCTTATGAATATACTCCATATTAATACAGCTACCAGCAGATATTAACTTACAGTAGGTAGTGACTCCTCTGCACTAGGAGATGCTGGTGGTAAACCTACATCTTTTACACCATGGGTACTGAGAATCATCTGTGAACGGACGGACAGCATCAGTGATCGCCTAAAATACAAATATAAATGTTAAAAAGCCTTTCCTTTGCTGCATAGTTTAAACTCACGAAAGAAAAAAAGCAGTAGAACAGAGTTTTTCAACAACCATTTTCCATACCACGGCACACTATTTGATTTTTTTACAATATCTATCCTGTATCTAAATTACCTTATAGATACTTATAGAAAGGTCATTACATCAATATTTATAATCATATTCAAATGCATTTTGGTAACCTGGAAATTTGGTATTGCATTTGGTAATTTCTGACTTGTAACTTGATATACTAATGTATTCTTACTGTTACAAATTTCTTACAATATAATGACATAAGCTTCGGACATGTGCATTTTCACAGTATTTTTAAATAATCAAACCACAAGAGGCCAAAAAATGCAACAAACAAGAGCTGTCCGTAAGACAGCGCGCTCGACTTTTTTATTGCTTGCCAATAAAAAAAGTTTTTGCAGTAAAAGGCAATACAAGAATCTCTGTATTTTTAAAGTGAACAATGGCCATGAGCATTAAGATATTTAGTGAAGAATTATTTTACTGAATTGTGTGATACCCTTGAACACTGCAGCAAAGTTTGAAATGTTTAAGTCAAAAGAGGGCTGGTAAGAAAGAAAAAAAAACTGAGTTGAGCCTTAAATAAATTTAATTCTAAGTCGATAAAAGGCCTTAATTTTTAAAACAAATCCTTGACAGAGTTACCTTCTCTTGCGTACAGATGGGGGTAATGATGTGAAATAGCATTAAAAGTTTCAAAGCAATATCTCAAAGGGTTAAGGCAATAAGTGGATTTTACCCATATTCAATGTATTTTCTAAGTCAAAAAGGGGCATAATTCTGTCAAAAACCTTGACAGAGTTATGTCCTCTTGTCTGTTGATGAAGGTCGTGATGGTAAACAAGTATGGTCAGTTTCAAAGCAATACCTCCAATGGTTTTGAAATAAAGTGAGGTGGTACAAAAAAACTTAACCAAGCTCAATACACTTTCTAAGTCAAAAAAGGGCCATAATTCTGTCAAAACCTTGACAGAGTTATGTACTCTTGTCTGTAGATGGAGGTTATGATGGTGAACAAGTATGGTAAGTTTCAAAGCCATACTTGTAATACTTCTGAAATAAAGTGGGGTGGTACGAAAAACTTAACCAAGGTGTGACGCCAACGCCGACGCCGACGCCGGGGCGAGTAGGATAGCTCCCCTTTTCATAGAAAAGTCGAGCTAAAAACAATAGTTGAATAGTGTAGTCACAAAATAATACAGTTCTAATGTCTTTACAGAGGTGAAATATTTCATATTTTGTTCTTGAATTTGTTTTTTTTTCAAACTGACATTACATAAGTCTTCCAAGTTCATTTGATAAATAATCTTTAGTCAATTCATGCTGCATTTGCTCCCATTTAAAGTGACATGAACTACACATACACAACTTTGGTATCCTACGTAATTACTGTATCATTACTACAGATTGTGTATGTATGTGAAATAAAAGAAGTCTTACTGATCATATGGCAGGTTTTGAGAGCTGAAACTTTCAGATTTTGACAATGTTTTCCTCTCTGTCTCAGAATGATCTGGCTTGCTGTGAACTGGACTAGATATACTCTGTAATGATGATGTAAATATTGTAATAAACACAATAACAAACATACTTATAATATTTTAATACATCTTTGACATTTTTGGTTAGTTTCATTTTTGGTTAGTTTTAACAGTATGCAGTGCTGGACATTAAAATTGAAATGCACTGGACTGGTATACTCAGTGAGCGTCAGGATAATTATTATAAACTTATCATATGAAAGTAAAACAATAACAATAGAATTTCTAAAACACCATAATATACAAATTATATATTATCAAATTAAGGAAGTGTATAAAATTTCAAAGAAAAAGTACTAAATGTTCAGCTACTAACAGATTCTGACACACCACTGATTATAAAAAAGAACCACCAAACCTTACCTGAGGGTGATTTAACACGCTCAGTACCATTTCCTCCCTGCCACGCATATACATCGCAAAGTACTTAAAACCTTTTACCGTCCCTAGTTTCAGCATCTCAGACAAAAATGCCTGGAGCTTTTTCTTCAGCATTGCTTCCTGTGACTGAAAAACAACAAGCAATCATTCCCTTTTATGCTTTATACAGAATTTATTTTTTAGTTTTATAGTGTGGAAAGCTGTAAGCTTAAAGAGACAATATGTAATCCAGAAACCAACCAGCAACAATTATTGATTGCTCAGTTTCTTACAAAAACAACTGCTTGCCCTTTGTTGTGTTTGAAACATAACAGGCAGCAATCTGCAGATTAGTCAAAATATTTTAACCTACGGGATTTTTAGATAATTTTTGACATGGTCAAAATCCCAAAGGCGTAGCTCTGATCGCGTTGATATTTCGACTATCTGCAGATATTCTAGTTTGACGTATTAACTGCTTCTAGTACTTTTATTTTAACTCACCATCAATATATAAATTACCACTTGTCATCATCTTATTTAGCCATGTAATAAATCATGATAAGCCACATTTCAAGTGCTGAAATTATTACTTGAAGACACGATTCAGACCTTGCAAATATGATTTGGGTATTCATTAGACCTAAGCTTACTGTAATTAAATTCATTTATCATAAGAATGGTATAATTTAAGATTTAAAATGTTTGATCTGTTTTTAAATTGTCCACCTCTTTCCCCTATACAATGTAATTTTTCCCTCTCCATGGGCCCTGCCACAATTCTTTTATAACTTACATGTATATAACTGAAAAAAGCATAGACGCCTCCCTGGAATACAGTCCAATAATAATGCAATTTAGCATTAACCCTTAACATGCTGAATATTTTAAATGGACTTGTCCCACTTCCATTTTGGGACTGTCCATTATCAATTGTAGGGATATCAATTTGAATATTAAAAGTTTGTCAGCCAACAGTATAGAGCCTGGTCAGACTGCACGGTGCTCTATACTGGTGGCAAAGGCTTAATGCTTTCGGTTCCAGCAGTTTAAGGGTTAAGCATTAGATCAATTGAAATTTATTTAAGCTTGATTGTTAAACAATTCTTGCAACATTCAGTCTACTTCCTTGAACTAACCATTGTGCCAGGTGAGGAAACCACATTAGGGCTTGAACCTACAATCCCTGGATTGAGCAGCAGGCACTAGACCATCCTTCTCTTAATATTAACAGTAGCAGTGTTTAAACTTGGATTTAAAGTGTATAGACCAGCAACAGCACCTTGTCATGTTAATAAAGGAAATATGACAGTCTCTTCATATCTTAATTGTCCTAGTAACATAATGTTCCAAAATATTATCAAAATTAAGTAATAATTAAATTAAAATCTCTGAAAGAAAATTTTAAAAAATGCAGGCTACTTAGGTGCTGTACATAAACATCAAGGTACAAAATTGTCATGGTATAATGTGTTTTAGGTCAACAAATACAATTTACAGGTAAAAGACATATCCATTTGTTGTACAAGCATATATTGAAAGGGTTCTTTTATTTTGTATAAGTTTCCAGTATAAAGTATGGTAAAACGAAAGCTAAATTCTGTCGTAGGGCAGGGCAGACGGTGAGACAAGCTGGACTGTATGTTTGGATGGGGCAGACCATATTTTTGGACAGGTCTGATCGTGACTCAAGTTGAGGCGGATCGTGCTTAATTTCAATTTTTTTTTTTTTTTATCTTTTGATATCAATTTCATCCTAAACATGTCATATATTTCAGCATGTCACATTAAACAGATTATTATTAACATTTAGCCTTGCAATTAAAGAATAAAATAGGTAGCGTAAGATAGTGGGAAAGGATTAAAACAAATCTCATCTGTAAAATATGAGAAGTATCACTATGATTAATTGACTATGTAAAGTCATCACTAGACTGTCAATTGTACACCAAATTAAGACAGATGAAAATATTACTTGTATATCATCCAACCTGGCCTGTCGTGTTAATACTTAGGATAATTATGCCTTTGTTTATGAGATAGTACTATTGATACATCCTCTAATATTTATGTAAATTTAGAACAATGAATCACCTATTACCAACCGAAAAAGGCAGACATTTGGCAATTGATCATAATAATAGGGTCTGTTCCTTATGTCCGTATCAAGCTATTGGTGATGAATTTCACTACTTATTTGAATGTTCGTACTTTAATGACATAAGACGTAAATCTCATCCCAGGTTTTACATTCATCCCAATATTTTTAAACTTGATACATTAATGAATAGTTGTGATAAAAATATTCTATTATAATTATCTTTATTTTGTAAAAACATTATGTTAAAATTTAGATAACTAATACTTCTCATTCACGAATTCGAAAACCTAGCTAAACGCCGTTTTCCGGTACTTTCTGTACATAGCTCTGGGGAATTAACCTAATGGAATGTAATAACAAACTCGATGTTTTCGGCCTTTTTTTAAATTAAATTGAAATAAAACAGTTATTTCTTTATAAGAAAATATTGAATATCATTGTATGAATAATTCCATACAAAAAATAAAGTAAATACACAAGTTTACGCAGAAAATAACCTTATTTATTATGGAAGATTCCACTATGTCTGTTTACATTTCATTGATTTTCATCATAAACAATTTATTTTTTACAAAAATTTGCAATAGATATCAATTAACCTCAATTTCTTTCACCTTAAACGGTAAAATAATGATAGAAAAATAGAAATATCATGTTACTGTGTTATGTACTTCATTTGGTGTAATTCCCCAGAGCTAAATCCGCAACGTACCGGAAAACGGTGTTTACCTAGGTTTTCGAAAAGGTCAATTCTCCGTTCCCATTTGTTACAATATAAAATACATGTTGTATTGAATTCAGTACTTGAAATGAACAATATGATCTCCTTTTTGTTTATTTAGCTAGTCATACTTGTATTTTTATATTGTGATATTAGTGATTTTTGACTGTTATTTTTCTGTTTGTTTGTTTGTTATAACCAGTTGCATATTATATGCCTTGGTTTAATAAAAACTGAAACTGAAACACCAGTGTTTTAAATCATAACATATATAGCACTTTACGTTTGAAGTCAACATTCAAAAACATAAAAAACAACAACAAAAAAACACTTGGATGGAAAAGAAAATTTATAAAAAGACCTACAAATGTACAGTAAAAATAATACGTTTATCCGAAATAATAATATATCCGAAACATGAAAACTTTCGAGGATTAACGTCATGGCAATTATTCAAGATAGTGTTTTTAGTGACATGTTCATCGTGTGCTCGAAAATATGGAAAGAAACAAAGAAAAAAATCTCACAGAAGCATCCATTTCAGCAGACACTAATATAGCTATAAATCGTTAAAAAACTGTAGTTTATTGATTTTCAACAAAACGCTTGTTTTAATAAAAACCAAGCCTTAAATCGATTAAGATTAAAGTTCATAAGATACTCCGGTCTCCGGACTTCGACGTTCCCCGGCAAGATACAAATCGACGCTCACTTGGATTTGAATTGAAAAGACTTTAAATGGCAATTGTTTAACAGTTATAATAACCTGAATGATGAGAATGGAATATTTTTTTTTTAAATAAAAAAATGTATATATAATGATGCTTATAAATATTTTCAGAATTTATTTTTATTCACGACTTGGGTAACAGTATTTTCCTTTGGATGATATTTTAACTGTTATCCACAAACCTATGTGTTATTTAAGAAATAATATATCAAAAATCCGCAGATATACGTTAGCTCTATGATTATTGCAATTAAAGCATATTAATTGTATTTTAAAACACAAATGTCCATTTCATAGGCGAAAATACCAATACGATCATTTTTGAATATACGAGAATCACGGATTTAAATTGTCAATTAAAGTCCGTGACGAGAATAAATAAGTTTTTAAAAAATACAATTTTGTGTCATATTTTACATCATGATGCTCGTTATTAAAAATGATATAAATGCTGCTGTACCTGATATTACCCTATATTGCGCGTGTCACATTTTTAGTGGTTTCGTCACGTGTATAATAATCACGTCACATGTGTAAATATAGAATGTCAACTGTGATTTTATTTAGGAAATAGATATCAATTCTGAGTGCATTGTTGTAGAATAATGCACAGTTTGAGTTCAAATGCGTAGTAATATAATCACGGAGGCCGATAGGCCTGAGTGATTAATTACAAAGCATTTGAACGAAAAACGTGCATTATTATACAATAATGCACGAAGAATTAATATTTTTTTCCATTTTAACACGTCAAGAAAAAAATATAATTATTACTATAAAGTTGGACTTTATGTTTGGTGGTTAAATTTGTTTTCGCCTCAGAGTTTCCAGGCGCTACATTGTGACGTCACGTAAACAACACTTAAACGTCTGTACAGCGTTAACAACTGAATTAAAGATATTGGTGTTAAGTTTCATTTTCTTAGTTAGACCATTTTCTTTCATTCTAGATAGTTTTCAAAACAATATTCGACAAAAAGTGTTTTTTTTTATTTATCAGATTTTTCAAACAAAATGGCGCCCTCGATGTGAAAATACACAGGGAGATAATAAGAACGGCGAGTGCATTGTTGTAGAATAATGCACGTTTCGGGCCTTCTTAGTTTATATAGAAAAAATTCTGATAGTGTTAGAATGTATAATCAAAGCACAGAAGGCGCTGAATTTGTTTGGGTCTCAGAATGTCAGAAAGGTGAAGGTTGTGAGATTATAAACCAAATTGTTTTTGTATAGTGCCACCAGTGCTTTCCAGCGTTTTAATTGTAGTTAATTGGCTTTAAGACTAATTGCAACACTGATATTCAATTCAATGTTTATTTGACTTAAACAATTTGAGAAAAAAAAAGAGTTGCCTTCCTGGATTTGAACTCCAGACCCCTCGGCCACGGTGAAGTTATATGTAAAAGGCCTAAAGAAAACCATATTATTCTAAATTAGGGTTTGTAACCCTTATTATTTCGACGCTAACTGTTGTTTAACACAGATTTTAATAATCATGGAGTTAATTATAAGCATGTATATCTATAAAGGATAAAACAATATTAGAAATCTTCGACCATTCGGGAATTATTTTGCTTGAAAATTAATGCGCCTGTCATTTGACCATCTGTACGCAGTGATCTCTCCTGAATTTTTTCGGCGTTAGTGTACATATAAAGGGAAGTAACCGCTTCAAAAAAGCGGCCTACTTTCGGCATTTGCAATTAACAGCATCAGACTCTGAAATTTCGCTACCATTATTTGTTTGGTCTGACGACCCAAACAAATAAAAACTATTACAATAAGCTATGGAAAAAATGCCATATTGTTTCCAATTTTACGTGTTGTCTGCAAGAGAGATGTCATACCTGTAAAAAAATGGAATAGTACATGTACATGTTGGAGGGAAAATACAATGTCGCCGTATGTAATAAAAAACACATAAATTGTATCTAAATGAGTTATGTAATACTTTTATTGTCTGTATACAACATATTAAAATTAGTTAGTATTAGATACTATCTTATATATGTGTTTAAAAATATTCTAGCTCCGTGAATGAATTATATTTTAGAAATTTAAAAAAAGACCTAGAATGAATCTCGCTGTTACAGTAAGCAGACATTATTCCAAAAGGATCCGTCAATGATTCTTTCATATCCCGTTGTTTGCTTGTCGTCTGCAATTATTTTGATCGTCTGCTACTGCTGGCATATAGGTTGTCGCGTGCTCGTCTTCAAGGCTTGGTTTTGAGAACCGTGAAAATTCACCAACTGGATTAGGCGATCTGCTTGATGGTTTCTCGTTTGTAGTGAGCAAATGTTTTTGCTTAGGTTTTAAGTATCCAAAAGAGATACGTCTGTCTATGCTGAAAGCGTAAACTTGATCGCGTACTTGTTATACAAAGGTTTAATGTGGAATAATGCCAAATGAATCTTTTCATGTCAACAGACAGTATACCGGAAGTAAACGGTATCCATAACAATTGTCGTCTGCTGATTTTTTTTTGTATTTCTCCATGATGGATTTGTGCAGTTTGAAAACTTTTCTGCAGGTAAGTTAACATTATTGTTTGAACATTTGACAGGCACGCAAATATAAAATTTATAGATTAAGTCTATCCAGAGCATGAAAAGGTGTATGGCAGAGACAAGGTTGGCGTTCGTGAATGCACGTGCATAGTGGCTCTTGAATATTACATGCAGATGTCTCTCTTTTATGATCATTGACATGTCTTTTGTAACTTTACGTCACAACTCGGGCTTAAATTTGACACATTCAAATGGTTTCGGATCTGGACATGTCAATGCATTGCTAGCAGTTGAAATATGGCGAAAATTGTCGTTTGCTTTTTTTGGCGTAGCATATCATCATGTGCTAAAGATATTGTTTGACTATATTCTTGCAGGTAACTTCTGCTGGAAACATGTAAGCCATATCCAATAATGGCATTTTTCCGGCTTTTACATTTAATAGTTGCTGATCTAACACCAAACTGTAAAACCCCTCGCGTTGCACACCATCTCCCCTTTGTAAACTTTCGGTTTTTCTACATGTCTAAGGAAAGCGTCTACACTGTTGCAAAACTCATAATATGAAAGGGTTCGTTTCACCGCATGCTTTCTAGCTTTTTAATTAACTTAACAAGTTATCTACCTTACGTGTCATGTTTCCTTCATCGATTCTCACGGATTTCTTTACAATTAATTATTTCCCTTTCCTCTTCCGCCCTCGATGTGAAAATACACAGGGAGATAATAAGAACGGCGAGTGCATTGTTGTAGAATAATGCACGTTTCGGGCCTTCTTAGTTTATATAGAAAAAATTCTGATAGTGTTAGAATGTATAATCAAAGCACAGAAGGCGCTGAATTTGTTTGGGTCTCAGAATGTCAGAAAGGTGAAGGTTGTGAGATTATAAACCAAATTGTTTTTGTATAGTGCCACCAGTGCTTTCCAGCGTTTTAATTGTAGTTAATTGGCTTTAAGACTAATTGCAACACTGATATTCAATTCAATGTTTATTTGACTTAAACAATTTGAAAAAAAAAAGAGTTGCCTTCCTGGATTTGAACTCCAGACCCCTCGGCCACGGTGAAGTTATATGTAAAAGGCCTAAAGAAAACCATATTATTCTAAATTAGGGTTTGTAACCCTTATTATTTCGACGCTAACTGTTGTTTTAACACAGATTTTAATAATCATGGAGTTAATTATAAGCATGTATATCTATAAAGGATAAAACAATATTAGAAATCTTCGACCATTCGGGAATTATTTTGCTTGAAAATTAATGCGCCTGTCATTTGACCATCTGTACGCAGTGATCTCTCCTGAATTTTTTCGGCGTTAGTGTACATATAAAGGGAAGTAACCGCTTCAAAAAAAGCGGCCTACTTTCGGCATTTGCAATTAACAGCATCAGACTCTGAAATTTCGCTACCATTATTTGTTTGGTCTGACGACCCAAACAAATAAAAAACTATTACAATAAGCTATGAAAAAATGCCATATTGTTTCCAATTTTACGTGTTGTCTGCTAAGAGAGATGTCATACCTGTAAAAAAAATGGAATAGTACATGTACATGTTGGAGGGAAAATACAATGTCGCCGTATGTAATAAAAAACACATAAATTGTATCTAAATGAGTTATGTAATACTTTTATTGTCTGTATACAACATATTAAAATTAGTTAGTATTAGATACTATCTTATATATGTGTTTAAAAATATTCTAGCTCCGTGAATGAATTATATTTTAGAAATTTAAAAAAAGACCTAGAATGAATCTCGCTGTTACAGTAAGCAGACATTATTCCAAAAGGATCCGTCAATGATTCTTTCATATCCCGTTGTTTGTGTGTCGTCTGCAATTATTTTGATCGTCTGCTACTGCTGGCATATAGGTTGTCGCGTGCTCGTCTTCAAGGCTTGGTTTTGAGAACCGTGAAAATTCACTAACTGGACAAGGCGATCTGCTTGATGGTTTCTCGTTTGTAGTGAGCAAATGTTTTTGCTTAGGTTTTAAGTATCCAAAAGAGATACGTCTGTCTATGCTGAAAGCGTAAACTTGATCGCCTACTTGTTATACAAAGGTTTAATGTGGAATAATGCCAAATGAATCTTTTCATGTCAACAGACAGTATACCGGAAGTAAACGGTATCCATAACAATTGTCGTCTGCTGATTTTTTTTTTATTTCTCCATGATAGATTTGTGTAGTTTGAAAACTTTTCTGCAGGTAAGTTAACATTATTGTTTGAACATTTGACAGGCACGCAAATATAAAATTTATAGATTAAGTCTATCCAGAGCATGAAAAGGTGTATGGCAGAGACAAGGTTGGCGTTCGTGAATGCACGTGCATAGTGGCTCTTGAATATTACATGCAGATGTCTCTCTTTTATGATCATTGACATGTCTTTTGTAACTTTACGTCACAACTCGGGCTTAAATTTGACACATTCAAATGGTTTCGGATCTGGACATGTCAATGCATTGCTAGCAGTTGAAATATGGCGAAAATTGTCGT